TTAGAATGAATAGGGTTCCTCTACTTCTATTTTATTTCATTATAAAAACTGAAGCATGATTGATTTTGCCTTATATCAAAAAGTCTCGAAAACAAACCTCATCTGCTGTTTTATAGCAATTGAAAGTCCTGTATCATAAAATTAATGATGCTTTATTAATTGCTATATTAAGGTGTGCACATGAAGATTTGTCTCGTCACTTCAATGTCTATGTTCATCATTGATATAAATTACTTCGAATTGCTTTGCCATTCGTAAGTTTTTTCTTCTGTGAAAAAACGAACCAAAATCAAATACTTCCGATATTTTTCGGTGTATTTGAATACCTAATTGTTAGCTAAGAGTTAAAAGGATTCTTTGACTTTTGGTATGGATGGAGAGAATATCAACATTCACATATACACTCAGACCATCCTTTTCGTTCTTAGTTTAAAACTGAGTGTACAAATATATATTTAAATATCTGAAGTATTCTCAATTATGTTTGTTTTTCATGAATAAGTAAAATCATGAATGACAAAATGATACTCGGAAGTAATTTATATCAATGACAGAAAAGATATTAATGTCATGAAAAACGTTTTCATGTGCATAACTTGATATGCTTGCACATACGGGTATTGGTAAAGAGCAACCCCACACTCACAGTCAATTTGGATTTATTGCTGTCTGTTGAACAATAAATGAAATAATTATAAAAAAAGCACTGTAGTTTTTCGATATTTAATTCATCTCTATAGTAAGTTTGAACAAAAAATTTTTTCTCAAATTTTCATAATTAAAGTGGAATGTGACGATGTTATCCATACTCAGTTTCTATTTGTCTGAATCGCGTCTTACGTACATCGATGATGCCTATGATTGAACACGTATATAGACGTGAGGAATATTTCACTGAAGGCGCGATTGACTTACTAGAATAAAATTAAAAAAATATTACCGTATGTCTCAGATTTGATCTGATGTCGCCATCGAGATTCTTTACTGATGATCTTTTCTTTATCATAGACGAACGAAATGTTGAAATGATGATATATCTATAATGATAGCAGTGAAATCTAGAACAAGTGAACGAGCAATGAAGAGCCAAATTTATATACCGTGAAGCCGCACTTCATCAAATTCATAATTACATGTGGCGAAGCGTCAATGTCATCGACTGAAATGAGTCGAGTTTCCGAGTATCAACTTAAAAAAAATGTGCATCAGACACTATTGATCATAATTGCGTTTCCATGCATGAATTCACAATTTTGCTTTCTTTCTTAGCTATCTTCACAACTATAGTTGTCAGGTTTCGAAGGTCTGTTCTCTTAAGAGCCACACAGGTTACTTAGGTTTCTCAAAAAACTGGTCGGTAAACATTTGCGGATGCTTAAATAATCGGTCACTCATTCGCCCTCTATTATGTACATCAATTATAGTTTATCTCGCGGAGTATGCTGAGTCTGAAGCTATCAGATTCTGACAGCACTATTCTTCGACTTTCGACTGTACACATCAATCGAAACATTATTTCAATCCCTTGCTAGTAGTACCAAAGAAAAATATTATTTGAGATGGCAGAATGCTTCATTTTTTTATTCTATTTGATCATACTTCAATTCATAACATAACAATATACTTTCGATAAGATTTGTTTCACTATGATTTGTATCTAGTCGTACAGTGCCTGTTTAGTGAATATTTTTTGAATCAATATCGATAGAAACAAAATAGAAAACAGCGATTTTTTTCGAACGAGGAAATAAATATACATCAAATCTTATATTATATGCATTTTTCTTGGATATGGTCTGATGTTTGTTTAATCATTTTTCTAAGTGTAGAGAGAATGGTTTCTTATCAAACAGGAAACCACAATAAATTCTTTATACAAGTAGCCAGCAAAATCAATTAAAGCATCGATAAGGTTACCGGCTACTTCTGAATGATTACTTCTAAACCTCTAAGCCTTGTGCAGTTTTGTAAATCTTCTATCAGCTGTTTCAATACACATCTCACGAGTAGGTTTATTTTCAAAGAGATTGATTGAAAAACTTTGAAAAAGTTCATGTTAAAGATCTTATAATACAGGACTGAATGCATATTCACCTCTTCTTTCGAGCAATGAAAACCACAGTCGTCTATTTTGTTTCTATCAAAATTTATTCAAAAAATATCCACTAAATAGGCACTAGTATGACCAGGTACATATCATAGCGAAACAGAGCTTATCGAAAGTTTATTATCACGTTATTAATTGAAGTATGATCACATAGCATAGAAAAATAAAACTGCTTTTGAACTGTTCTAAATAGATATTTTCTTGAACTAGGGTGTGGTTTTTTAAACCAACTTTCCCTATTTGTTTTATGGATCGAACGAAGACTTTGTAATATGTGATATGAATAGCAATCATCATGACATGAAGTTTCTTAAGAAATTTGATTCTAATAATTCTTCGTTTAGTAGACCATCTAAAATAATGTAAAAGAATAGTTTCTATGTAGAAACAAAACAAATATTTGTCTTTATTTAATGATTTACATTCTCTTTCTTTCTTTTGCTGATAATGTTTTTTGTCGTTTACGTTTCTTGCATAAAAAAGCTTCAGTATAGTAATCCTCAAGAGTATGTGTACAATGTTGTTGTTATCTATCTATCGTGATGATATTCCCTAAAGAGTTGATAATAATTTTAATAAATGCTTTTGAACTTTGATTTGATGATCTAACACATTATCCAGACATCATTTTGTTTTAGCATATGTATTTTCTTTCATTTGTTGTTTGTATTCGTTGTTGAATTAAGTCTTCATGTACAAATAATAAACATCTTTGTTCATTGTCGAGAACTTAATTATTCGAACTTGAATTAGACAGCTACTGATGAGGTGAATGTAGGGTTAGCTAGAATCAGTAATAGTTCTTGTTAAAATACTAATTTTTCATTATGTTGATATTGAAGTTTAAATTTTTCAATGGCTTTTGTTTGTAGGTGTTATTGAGATTTAGTGTTTGTTGACAAACTGACTGATAAAACTGCAATAGCAAATTTACGTGAATTAGAACACCATTTCATACCTATAACAGTTTCAATATAAAATTCACATAATGAATTAGGAATATTTTGATTTTATTTTTACGAACATTAATTATATATAACCTTGAATTCTTCGTTTTATTAAAATAATTTGCAACATAATACTCGTAAAGAAGGAAACGATTAATAAAAAAGTTCACACGTTTAACATTTCTCATTTACCACTTGAATTTTATATTAACATTATTGTATATTTTATTTATTTATGAATAAAATCAACACCTAATGTTGTATTTTTCCTGTTACAACAATATTTGATCAAAACACTAGAAAAATCAAGGCCATCACCAGCTCTTCGTACAGTTAAACAAGTAAATATCAAATTTTCGTTCTAAAATACGTGGGTGTGGATGTGAGTAAGAAGAAAAGCTAGACTTATATACAAACCCACACCCGCACCCACACCCACCCACACCCACACCCACACCCACACCCACACCCACACCCCACACCCACAACCACACCCCACACCCACACCCACCCACACCCACACCCCACCCACACTCCGCCCAGACCCACACCCAC